ATTAAAAAAAAGAAAAGAAATCATTTGAGCAAGCAGCAATTTAGAGGCTGCCTGCAAGTCAAGAGAATAAAACCTACTGCAACAGTACCTTGATCTTAGCCTTCCCAGCCTCCAGAACTATAAAAAATATTTTTTTGGTTTTATAAGCCATCTAGTCTATGGTATTTTATTAAAGCAGCCCTAGCAGACCAATATCTAGTGTAAGATGAAGGTCCAACTTCATTCTTTTGTATGTGGTTATCTAGTTTTTTTGTTTTATAATTTGTGATAAAGCATCGGATTAATAAAATTTAGCTAAAGCCTTACATCACTGTAATAACTATGGGGTAAAATTCATTTGAATTCTTTTTCCACTTATAAATTTTTTATATAGGTGGGAGCAAGATTCCAAAAGCTAAATTACTAAAAATTATGCATTGAGAATATCATGCCTCTACCCAGTGAAGTTTCTTTTAGAGTGGACAAATATTTTGGTAGTCATGAAAGTGCAATCATTTAAAATGTTCAGGTTCAATGACAAGATGACTTTTATATAAGTACAAGATTCTTAAGTTATTCCTTAATCCCATCCATATAGATATTTGAGAAGCTTTTTTGACATTACGTATGGAGTTTAGATGAAGGAGACACTGAGGTCTGCCTGAGTGGGTTCATTCGTACCTCTGCTGGCCTTTGATTCTCCCTCAGTGCTTAACACTAATGCTGCTGACAGACCTGTTTCTGCATTCCAGCATTGTCAGCTAATTGTTTTCAGATCTCTAGAATCTGCAAACATTCAGAGGCTAGTGCTGAAACTGAAAAATTCCATATAATAATTAAATTATTCTTTAATTCTTGTTACGTGTATAAGGAAAAATATCCGGGAATAGTCACTTTTGAGATTTTTTTTCCAGATCACAAACAACTTTCAAGTAAGAGCAGCAGCCTTGCACACAAGTCAGTTTCTTGTTTTTATTATTTCTTGTTTTTATTATTATTTCTTAAATCTCAAGTTCCACTGATGCTTCAGAACTCTCCAATTTTCCTGTTAAAACATAAAATCAAATGTGTTTTTCTTTCTGAAATGATAAATTTTGTACTGAAACAGCATATAGAATACCAGAGAATGCTATTTGAAAATGTTTAAATTAATTTCCAAAGAAGAGATCTAAAATATAGCACATGTTTTTAAATCTAGTTCAAAAAGTGTTCTTATAAATTAGAAGAAATGTAATAGATTCAGATTGGCCACGAGTAGTTTATTTGAAATATTTTTCCATCAGTACTACCCCTAGAGCATTAAGTTTGGTGATTCTGTTTCTCCTTTTATAAAAAGAAAATTCTAATATCTCTCACAGTTTTACCACATAGGACAACAAAGTGTATATATCTCTGTAAATAGTGTAATTGATCAGAAGAATTGACTCTAGAGAGTCTCAAGAGTTAGAGAAAGCAATTATACTCAGCTCTCTACTTTTCTGAAACATAATCTTTACATAGCATTAAAAACATTCTTTCAAATAGGGATCAGTGGGTTCAATGGATTGCTGACAATATTTATTTTCCAATACAAGCAAGTTATTGAAAATACATCTGAGAAATATTTCTGCAATCTTCCTAATATATGTAATGTAAAACTGAGGATGGTAGGAAGAATCTTTGAAGCACTGAACCCAGGAGTTGGGTGTAGAACCTAGGCAGGAAATGGTATTATAAATCTAGAAAATTGATGATAATATGTGCCCCAAGGTAGCAGTACATCTATATATAAGTAGATTGCCAAAGACGTCAAAAGAACAAATGTGTGTCTAAATCAGAAAGCGACGCTATGTTCAAAGACTTTCTCTTAAATAGCTGACGTAAAGCACTAAAAAGACTCGAAGAGAACAGGATGAAAAATAGGCCTATATCCTTTGGGCATATGTTTACATGAAATACATTTTTTAGAAGGGTAGAGATTTGGAAGTAAGGATTAAAAGATCTAGAGTATCCATTATCCCAGTAAAGTGAGTTCTAGTTCATGACATTTGAGATTCGACTGTCACAGAAGAGAGAAGACAGAGAACACTGGGCCTACTCTGATTGTATCCACTAGTTTTA